AACAACAACAACAACAACAACAGTAGCAGGAAGCTGCACTGCAATCCCTAAGGCACACGGTTCAAGACCACCAGCTGCTATTTCCTCCCATGGAATTAGCTGGCTCTGAAAACCCACCAGAGCATCAGCTATGGATTTGTTCTGACTCTATGGTACACAAGAACATAAGGAGCTTCCAGGTGAGGTAATCGGCATTTGTTGATTGGGTGGGGAATGTCAAGTATGTGGCTGAAGTACTGAAATTCTCCTCAACCCATTACCATTTAAAAACTCTGATTTTTAGAGTTCTACTCCAAATTTACTCTATTTTTAAGCTCTTGTCTTCAGTTAATGAAAATACTCAAAAGTCTTCCATTTTAAGAAAATAACAATTTTGACTTTAAATTCTCTAGTCATTACCACAAAGATTTGTCACTAACTAGATAAATAATTCTAGAGAGGTTACTATTTGTGTCCCAGTCTCTTTTGTGAAAAAGGATATAAAAAATGGTATATGCTTTGATAATCAAACGGGTATATATATACACACACACACATATATATACTATACATGTGCTATTAAAGAGAGGAGGGCGGGAGGGAGGGAGAGAGAGCAGGCGCGCGAGAGAAGCTGGTCCCAAGTAGTGAATAGGCCTTTATTAGTAGACCTCAGAGGACTTCCAAGCAAATGTGGGCAGGGAAGATCAAAATGGTGAGGTGTGCAGGCAAAGACAGTTACTTTTTATAGGGATTTTAGGAAGGTATAAGACGGTAATTTGCTTGGAATTTGGGGTGAGGGTCCATCTTATCAGGCAATAGACATTATCAGGTTTCTTTAAGGAATGATCAGGCCTGGGGGTAACTGTGACATTCTTCCTCCATGTAAAGCTTAGAATGATGCCTGACACATGGTGAATACTCAAACAGGATGGTTCTCCACTGATCACCTATTTGGAGCATAGCAATATTAAGCATCATCATAGTGTTAGAAGTCAGAACAGGAGGATGCAGTCCACATTTGGCTTCTCAAGCTGTCTGACACTACACTGTAAACCCTCACTGAGCCACACCCGCTTACCCTTAGGTTTCTCTAGAATAACATTTAAATGGTGTTTGTGTTAAGCTTTCCACCACCCTCCTCTAAAGAATTCAGTGAATAGTGATAGTCCATGCTACATTTACAGATCACTTTTCTTTGCAATGTAAAGTGTTAAGGGCACAGAAAAAAGACAAGACTCCTGATCTGGAGAACTTACTGTCTAGTGAGTAAAGGATTAGGCTCTTTTACAGTCTCCTCCTCTCCCCTCCCCATGCTGTGTACATAGAATTGGATATGACTGGCACAGGAGGAGATTGCCCCTCCTTCTCCACTGGAGCAGCTGGTGGATTCGAACCACATATCTTCGGGGGTCTTTTTTGGTGAAAAAAATGGAAGTTCTGAGAATTTAAACTGCATGCCTGAAGTATTGGGTCTACAAGGGAGATTCTTTGACTTCCAACAAAGAGTTCCATTCAAGAAAGCAGGGTGCTTTACCTAATAACAATAACCCTGCTTGTTGGGTGGATCATCTGAGTCAATGATTAGGGTACAGTGGGAAGGGCTGCTGATGGTCATAGGGGTCTCCCAAAGGATGTATTAATCAGCCTGCATTTTAAGGACAAAGAGAGGAGCTGGACCCTCTCTGCATCAACCATGTCATAATGGTGGCTTGTCCAAGTCCATCTCAATGGTGTCTACTTCCTCTTGGCCCTATCACTTGCTACATAAATATATAAGCATTAAAAACCCAAGATCTTAGACAATCACCACATAAAACTCAGTCTCATCGGTAAAACGGAATTGATGATACTTACCTTAATGATTTGCTGTAGTGTTTGAAAAATGTACGCAAGTAAATGATCAATGACAGTACCCAGCCCCCACTCTTTAGGTACGCTACTTCTATTTTAACCAGAGCTTTTAACTGGGTGCATTCTAGCTTGACTTCTTGCTAAAAATTTACAGTTCCACCCTAGACACACAGATAAGAATTTACATTTTAACAAGATCTTGTAAATAATACAGATTCTTATTCAGTGTGTGTAGAATAGAAAGGCAATTTCTCAGCAGGGGTCGGAAAGCACTGGTCTGACACCCTGATTTGAAGGGAGATGAACTGTTTCACCTTTTAGAGTCAGTCTTTAAAGGGTGCTCCCTCCCAGATTAATTAGGGAAAATATAGCTAGGCTGAGTTATCAACATCTAAAGCTAATTAAAGGTATTATGCTTTTGAAGGCTGGTGTTAACGATAGAATTTTAAGCACCTTTAGGAAAGGCATCTTACCAAGTCTTCTCATGGCCCTCAGCTCACTGTATGAACACTGCATTCAAGAGCCCATGTTCACACTCATGAGAAATTAAGTACCAGCACTGAAATACCAGATGGCTTATGGGTCACTTGTGGGAAACAGTAAAGGATACAGAAGGAGATGTGGCCTTGAAACCTCTGATTCAGTTGTCACTAGCTTCTCCTTGATGTAAGGGCAGTCAGTGGGCACCCCTGTGTGGTTTTCTCTTCTGGTCTGGGCCGGTGGGTGGATGGAGAGTTTCTCAAAGCTTTCAGTAGAGTCACTGAGCTCACTGCAGGTAGCCTCATTCTCAGCCTCAGGTGCTGGCTGAGACTCCTTTTCCTTTCCTGCCACTGATAAACCCCATCCAGGAGAGCTCGTGCTCTGCTGGGCGCATGAATGTGTCAGGTGTCGGATGAGCCGAGGGTTTGCTGAGGCAGGCTCTCTTATCATGGCCTTGGAGGTTGCAACCTCAAAAGGAACATGGACCGGGCTAGCAGAATCTTGTCTAGGCAGGTGGGAGTTAACAGCCCTTCTTGGGCTGGAGAGAAAGTTATGTCTGGCCTGGTGCTCCTCCCTAGAGGGAGGCTCTGAAGGATATGAGTCACTTTCTCGCTGTACCTCATCAGGCTGAAGACTCATGATCTTACTTGTATCTGACACAAAACTGGACCACGGGCTAGTTTTGTCTGTCACAGTGGTGATCTCATTTAGAGTCCTGGGCTCAATGATATCTTCTTCATAGTCCTCATCACTATAGACCAGGCCTGCCTCAGTGTCCTCATCGCTCTGCATCCTCGTCAACATCAACGACGGGGTATCATTTTTGAGTGCAGCATGTCCCAGACACTCATGGAGTATTCCTTTTCTACTTGAAGTCTCTTCAAGAACAGGAGGAGGTGGGGAGTTTGTGCGCTCGTCTGGATCTCTTACCAATGGTTGGTCTGCAGGTCTGCTTCCTTCTTGTACGGCCTCTGAGTCTTGAGCATCTGGGAGGGTGGTTTCTTCTCTCCTTCTACTTCTTGTTTGGTGAGAATTCAAAGATGCTTGGCAATTCCTGGTGATAGTCTGCAGATCTGAACAGCAACAGATACCATTCTTACTATAAGGCAGAGCTACAGATCATAAACTTCCCACATTAGCGTCACAAATGTTCTTGCAATAGACTTTGAATAAAACATAAAGATAAAACACTCAAGAGTCAGTAAAACTATATTCAAGGCAGTGTAATTTCTAGCACTTTATTCTATTAGCAGAGGACCAAAATCTAATCTAGTTATAACTAGATACATGTGGCAACACTTTGAGAGACTATTTGCTCATGGTCAGGAAGTCTTGGGAGCTGGGAGTCCTGGCAGGCATGTTCACGCTTCCATTTACTTCAGTAATTACCTATATTAAAAATCAAAATGAGAATACACTTACTTATTTGATAATGATTAAAACTAATTTACTTGGAAAATAAAAACAAGGAAACAGCTATCACCCAGGGCAGGGAAAGTTTACAGAGAAAACTGAGGCAGCTTTGGTGTGGAGAGGAACATAGGCTTTGAAGCAAGTGAATGCTGGGTTCAAATCCTGCTCTTGTTTACTATGTCCTTATAAACAAGCAGCCTCTGTTTACGTTTAAAATATGTTGAACACTGTATATATAAAATAAACGAGCATACAATGTATAACACACCAAATTTTTTTGGAGGAAATTAGAGGGGGGTAAAGGAATAAATGAGTTTAGTAAATTTTATATTTACATGATTATTTGTTAGGAAAAAGGAATTAAGAGGCACATTTAGGTCCTGGGAGGCAGAACTTATATCTCCCTCACAGCACATAAGAGAGTGCTCAGCATATAGGATGTGCTAGCTGAGTCTAATACAGTATTTTCAGACCTCAAATGGAATGGACTAAATGTCTCAAAATTAAACATTTCTACCTGTGAGTAGGCACAGGATGCAGGACGTGACTTAAGTACACACCGATCCTTTTGCCTATTTACTTCCTCTGTCTTAGCAAAGTCTTCTGGACTTTTACAAACCAATTTATTCTCCAAGAAGCCTTCCCAGTTGCACTGGCTAGTTAAGATTGCTCTAGGGTTTTGCTCTGTAAGGAAGCACAGAAGAACATGCTAATGTGTTGCCAAAGAATTCTGAACCTCTCAAAGGCAGTATCACTTCTGATTCCTGTGTTTCCAGAGCTCACCACATAAATTTTGGTGACTCAATTATTCATTCTCAAGATTCACATGGTTGTACTTCTAAAAGAGGTTACTGAGGCGTGGTGGAGGCAGAGGGCATTTTCCTTAGTCTAATCATATCTCCCTTTCTGAATTTACTGTGTAGTTGTAAAGATCAGTTCTCAGTCTGTCAACTGCTTGCTTAGAAGTCACCTACTACTTCGTGATAAGGATTAAACTCCCAAACTTGGCCACAAAGCTCTGTAGCGTCAATCCCTTAGTTGTTTTCTTTCTGTTTTTAAATTATTCATTTAAAGAGAGCCGCTATTGGCTCCTACCTCTACCCTAAACATACCTTCTGTTTTGCTCATATATTTTGTTTGTAAGGTAAAGTTTTTAACTGAGTGTAGAATATAAGCTCAATGAAGGCAGAGACAATACCTGTTTCGTTTACCACTTTATCCTCTAAAACCAGTAACAATACAGTGCTGGGACCCCTACAAGCCTGGAATTGAAATCACTCCTGTGGCTTTGGCTCAACTTTCAGCAAGATAAAAGCCATCAATAACATCAAGGAAACATGTACTACTCAAAACAGTCAACAGCTTTTACCAAGAGACAAAGTTGGGAAGGCAGGAAGAGATGGGAAAGAAGGGCATGAAAACAGAAAGCACACGGGCAAAGTGGGATGAGGGGGCACTGTAACTGATGTCACTAACATCATGAATCATGTATGAATTGTTGAATGGAAAATTAAGTTGCTCTGTAACTCACTCAAATCACAATAAAAAATTAGGGGGAAAGAAGAGAGCTCTGGTGGCCTAGTGGCAACAAACTGCACTACAATCCCAAAGGCACATGGTTCTAACCCAACAGATGCTCCTCTGGAGGAGGGGCAATCTCCTCCTGTGCTGGTTGGATCTGATTTGATTATACACAACAAAAACCAAAAGAAAAATAAATAAATTTAAAAAAATTAGGGGGAAAGAAAAAAAGAACAGTGCCTGATAGAGTTTGTTGTTGTTGTTATGTGCCGTCGAGTAGCTTGCGACTCATAGTGACCCTATGTACAACAGCCCTAAACTCCACTCTGTCCTGTGACAACTGCACTATCTCTGACACTCCCATCCCGATTA